CAAATATCAGCTTCTACGACACGTGTAACAATCACATTTTTATTCCACGTTTGCTGCACTGCATCATACGGTGCACTGCTGCTGAATGCGAGTGATGAGCTTGCGTTAGACTATAGCAAGATTGATTTCGATGTTCTAATGGACTTCCTTTCCGTCACTGACTGGGATCTTCTTTTCGATGGACTGAATGCTGATGAAATGGCTGAAATGTTGTGTGCTGTGCTAAATAATTGGATGGATACAAACGTACCGATTCGTCGGCCTGCTGTTTCTCCTGCGTGAAGCACCGCTTTGCTACGAAAACTAAAACGAAAAAGAAATGCTTCGCAACGTAGACTTCGGCGATACCGTTCCCTGGCAAATAAGCGTAGTTTTCACTTGGCGTGTAACGAGTACCGTAATCTAAACTCTTCGCTCTACAAATCGTACGTTTTACGAGTGCAGACTAATTTAAGGCGAAACCCCAAGAGCTTTTGGAGCTATGTAAACTCGAAGAGGAAAAATTCAACAATGCCTGCAAGCGTTTTTTTCAATGACGTTGAATCGTCGATAGGCGGGGAGAAATGTGAGCTTTTTGCTGCTCATTTTTCGTCGGTTTTTGCCGCAGAATCCATCACCTCGACTGAACTTGTCTCGGCTGTTTCGGATGTGCCTTCAAACCTTGTTGACATAAACACTTTTGAAATAACGCCCGTTATGGTAACTAATGCCGCCAAGAAAATGAAATGTACCTTCTCGCCTGGACCAGATGGCATTCCTTCTGCAGTGTATTGTCGTACCATTGGAGCGATTGTTGAACCGCTTTGCAGAATCTTCAACAAATCTTTTGTAGAGTCGAAATTTCCTGCAATCTGGAAAGAGTCATTTATGGTTCCGGTACACAAGAAAGGAGATAAACGTGACGTTAAAAACTACAGAGGAATTACTAATCTCTCTGCAGCATCAAAACTATTTGAGATAATTGTGAGTGGTTTCATTCTTGAGCACACCAAATGCTATATCTCTAGTGACCAACATGGCTTCATGCCTGGACGATCGGTTACCACAAATCTTCTAGATTTTACCACGACATGTTTTGAGCAACTGGAAAATGGGACACAAATACACGCTAACTTGAAAGTACTCATTAATGAGTAAAAAAAGACCCATTTTGAAGAAAAGTGGCTTAACTCATTAATGATTAAACAATTTTACCCATTAATGAGTATCTGTTACCCATTAATGATTAACAATTACTCATTAATGGGTAACAGATACTCATTAATGGGTAAAAAATTACTCATTTAATGAGTTAAGCCACTTTTCTTCAAAATGGGTCCTTTTCAACCATTAATGGGTACTTTCAAGTTAGCGTGTAGACGTCATCTACACTGATCTAAAAGCAGCGTTTGATACGATCAACCATGACATTATGTTGGCAAAGCTATCCAAACTCGGTGCGTCGGACCGTTTGACTTCGTGGTTGTGCTCCTACTTGACTGACAGGTCTCTGCGAGTGAAACTCGATTCCAGTACTTCCTCGTATTTCACGAACTCGTCAGGTGTACCACAGGGTAGCAATCTTGGCCCGTTGCTGTTTGTGTTGTACATCAACGACGCACTTCTTCTACTTGGAGATGGCTGTAAGCTTGCGTATGCCGATGACCTAAAGCTGTACTTCGTGGTGCGGACTGCTGAGGATTGCATTCGTCTTCAATCGGTATTGGATCTGTTCGTTGATTGGTGTCGTCGGAATAAGCTTACCCTCAGCATTCCTAAATGCGGTAATGTCGTATTACCGCATCAGGCAGCCGATTGTTTTTGACTATGCCATCAACGGTGTGGTTCTTCAAAGAACCGACCAGTTCAGCGATCTTGGTGTTCTACTGGACCATAAGTTGACGTTCAACCTCCACCGCTCTGCTCTGATCACAAAGGCGAATCGCCAGCTAGGTTTTGTGTCGAAAATATCGAAGGACTTCATTGACCCACACTGCCTGAAAGCTCTCTATTGCTCACTTGTGCGACCAATCCTGGAAAATGCCTCCTTGGTCTGGTTTCCTCATCAGTTGACTTGGAGCTTGAGGATCGAAAGTGTTCAGCGCAAGTTTATCAGGATATCATTACGTAATCTACCATGGCGTGATCCGCAAAATCTCCCGCCGTATTCTGATCGCTGCAATCTGCTGAGCTTGGATACTCTGGAATGCCGACGGAAAAATCAGCAAGCAGTTTTTGTTGCCAAGCTATTGAATGGTGAGGTCGACTGCTCGAGGCTTCTCTCGCTGTTGGATATCCGAGTACCACCGAGAACATTACGAAGTGGTACCCTTCTCCAACCGCGGTACCATCGAACGACGTTCGGTTACTACGAACCACTAACAACTATGATGCGTACGTTTACGGCTGTCGAAGAATTTGGGGAATCTTCATCTCGCTTTTTGGCACGGATTAGAAACACTTGAATTGTTTTAGCTTTAAGGTTGTTTCATGTAGACAATAGTCCGATGAATAAAATTAAATAATAATAATAATAATAATAATAATAATAATACATGAAAGTAGCAATTTCAGGTGAAATTGAGCACTGATATCCGAGAACTCTAAGAAACCGAGCCCCTTATTGTTCACACATACAAACCAATTAACCACTTCATTCGAGCAGTTAAAATGACGTTTACTACCACTCAAACTTTGAAATAAACCATAATTTTGAGATTTTTTCTTCTAGAACCACGAGAAAAGTAGCCAACATTTGTGCGTTTCATAAAAAAATAGAAATTAGTTGGTCCATTTTTGTGAAATCGCTGGTAGAAAGTCACGCCAAAACTGCTTGACAAAGTGGTCAATTATAGTCAAGTTTCGGATCGAGTTATTGTTATTATCGTCCAATCTAGGCGGTGGCTTCAACAATGAAAACAATGACTGTCACGTGAAAAATCACATCTGAAGGAAAGTAATTTCCATATAAACTTCAAACGGTTTGTCAGTTTCTTGATAAATGAGTTCAAATTTTGGGAAGTTAATAAGGACCTAATTTGAAGCCGTTTGAGCGAAAATTTCAAATGTTGCATCAGTTTAGAGGGCAAGCTATCAGTTTCGATAAATTGACGTTTGAAGCCATTATTTAAAAAAAATAACATCCGTCTCTATTCGACTGTTTGCTCGAGATTCCGTTATTTACCTACTCCTGGAGTAGTTAAATGTCTCTTTGCAAGATTGATTATTACTAAACACCAAGACCACCCATCGGAGCTATCTTCATTCAAAGCAAATTCTCGTTTCCCGCTTCATCAACTCCCGTCAGCGAGTGGCAAACCGCCATTCTTAAGGAAATTTCCTTCCACCAAAGATCCAAAACTCAAACAAAACCCGCTTGAAAACCACAAATTAATAGCATCATAAATTGTAACACCTCAACCCCCTCCACCTTCCTGATGGGGCCCAGCCCCACTCGAAAGCAATTCGGGCTGAGATTCTCCACAAAGAAACCACCCCGTTTCCTGTCACGAGATCACACCCATATTGGCTGCGGCAGAGACGACGACGAAGTGGAAGGAAGTTAAGCCACTGGTCCGACCTATTATTACCCTATAAATTACATCTTTCGGATGTGAAAATGGTTACTTAAATTGCTTCCCCGAGCAGCAGCGTCCGGTTTCCAAACTGCCAGTGCGGTCAGTCCGCCGGGGAGGACCATTTGGGTTGGACGCTTCTCGGTTGATGATGGGGCTCCCGTGAAAAAGATACATATCTATTCATCCATTTCGGTGCCACCGGGCTCCTCCGGTAGATTTTCCTGAACATATCTCCAAAGCGACAACGGCAACGGCGGTGTTTGTGTTGTTTGCGTTAAATTATCGCATTAAATTTGGAAATTTTGCAAGATTTATTTTTATTGCTACCCCATTGCCGTTTGCTCGGACAAAGATGGTAGGTTTAATGGATGGGGACATAACAGCAATGATGCAATAGATGGTGGTGAAAAAATTGACATCGTTCGAGAAATGATCAAACGGACCCACAGAAAGCCAGTGTGCAACACGTAATTGATTGAGTTTCGTTTAATCGAGTTGAATGTAAATTGAAATTGAAATTTAATTTGAAATGGTTTCCAATGCAATGGCAGTCGATGGTCATCAATCTGGGGCAGGGAGAGAAGGGATTGGTAAACTGCTTCTCCATTGTTGGCCCAGTCACAGGGAGTGGTGACTGCACGGACGAAGGTAGTTCATCACGATTTCTCGATAATGAAGCTCCACATCCCGAGGGCGAAGAAAATTATCGACAAAGTGTGTCTGACCGAAGAAAAGATCTCACTCTACTTTCAGTTTTCCCCGGCTTTGCTGTCGAGTTTGCGTTCGTTGTTTAATTACATTTTGCCAGTATTTTTTCCGCCGTTGGGTCTTAATTTGATTTACTTCTCGCCGATCGGTTGGAACCGAAGGGATTGTGGGAGGGTGATAGCGAGTTAGGATGGAAACTCATCAATACAGCCGGTGTCCGACTTTTGATGATATCGCATTTCCGAAGTAATTTGTTTGATTGAAACAGGATTTTTTTTTTCGCTCATCGGATCGATCTATTTCATCATAATTTAATAAATAATGCAAAGTTATTTCATCAATGCTAAATTTGTGTGTTCTGTAGAGTTTTCTTTAAAGTCCTTATACAATTTACATCAATTTCATTTAAGAAGCACGTTTAATATTCCATCGATTATTTGCAAATTATTTTCCGAAATCAAATTGACCAACCAGCTCCGAAGTCATACCGACGTAATCGACCAAATACGCGGTTCATTAGTAAACAAATGTCACATCATTGTTTCTTGACGTAATTTTACCGAACCAAGCTCATTTCACTCACCCCGATCCGTGTGCCTTTTTCTTTTTTCATGTCTCCACAACAACAACCACCCGCTGCCTGCCCAACGGAACAACCCACCTCGCCACCCGCTGTCCATCAACCCGACGACCAACCAACCGAAAACATCAACCTTCACCGATTCGTTTCAGCAGAAACATCCACATGTTATCTTCGAGGCACGTACAAAATCAAACAAGGGCTGTGCTAATTCTGGCAACACGGGAGGACATCGGCGCGACCGGCAGATGCGCCGGCAGAACCACCACTCGGGCCTGGTGGTCGAACAGCAGGACCCGAACGGGGCCGGGCGCTACCGGAGGGACGTGCGCGAGGCGACCAAGTACATCGAAACGGCACTGGTCATCGACAAGGCGATGTTCCAGAAGCGCAACGGGAGCACTCGGGCCGAGGTGGTGCACGACGCCATCCAGGTGGCGAACATTGCCGATCTGGTAAGTAGTACGATTAGCATCATAGAAATCGATCAATGTGAGCATAATTTGGTCTTATTCTTAGAAAACCTCTGTTCGAACATTTAAATTCGCGTGACTTAAGTCTAGTCCCGGAACGGGAATGAATAACGTCGCTAATTTATCGCTATCGTCTAAAGCAGGCCTCCCCAACTTTTCTAAAATTGCTTTTACAAATGGTCTTATTGTTGAGCTGTTGACGTCTGGACAGCCCTGGTCTAAAGCGAAACATTTTCAAGGCATTTGGTGTCGTAGTAGGTTGTAATGACAGCAAAGGTAGCCCAAAAATTAAACCAAATACCCACCGACGCATCAGTACCTACGATGCGGTGTCCTGGAAGAGAACCCAATCTAAGACAACCGATCGTGAAGCTTTGATTCGAGTTGCGATATATCACAATCACGATCGTCAATCAGCTGATGGTAGTAACGCTTTGTACATTCCTATCAATGTGCTCATCGAAGCTCTCTCCATGACCATCTATCAAGTTGACGAAAGCAGTAAAAAGCAACTGGTGAATGTCGTCTACGGTAGTGATCCATCACCGATCTGGTCATTCCCGACAATCACGAAACTCATCTATGCTCGTTTTGAAGCAGTTGCTGCTTTGCTTGCTTATGTGAGTGTGATGGTAAGTGAGCCGAACAGATTCCGTTTAATGTTGGCTGCTTTTTTTGTAACTCACACAGTCGCGCCTGCCGAGACGAACTTGGAATGCGTAGCCATTGTTTTCATTTTCTTCTGTCGTTTTGCTTTTTCTTATCATCGTACTGCAGAAGTCTTCACAAAATCTCACGATTGTCAAGGAAAAGGCCAAAGCATAAATAAACGAATCTTATCGATAACACTCACCACACTAAACCCCGACTGACTTGTTGAGCTATCTGACAATCCTTCGAAAGAGTGACGTTCATATCTGACATTCGGAACCTGAGTGTCTAGACTGAGTGACTAGATGATGAGACGTCAAGACTGAGTGTGACACAGCCAACAAGAAATGATAATTGTTGTTTTGAAGATCATCAATAATAGGTACACGAATGTCAACAAAACTGATTGATAGAAAAAATGCTGCTGAGATGACACTCACTATGAAGTGTAAAGGGTGATACGGTCAAAATTTGGTCAAGGGAAAACGCGTGTAAATCGGTGAAATCGTTTATTTAAAAAATCAAATTAAATTTCTTTTTCAAGTTCAATTAGTATAAAATTCAGGAAAAATATTCAGTTAGGCTTCCGTTTTTCCAAATCCGAATTGCCGGGCCTTACGCTTGACCCCTGCCATCAGATTTTGTACAGCCACCTTGTCCACCTTCTTCGCCGCAGAAAGCCAGTTTGCCTTGAACTGCTGCTCGCCCTTAGCAGTTTTTTTGGTCTTCTTTAGGTTCCGCTTGACAATAGCCCAGTATTTCTCAATTGAGCGGAGCTCTGGCGTGTTGGGAGGGTTCTTGTTCTTGGGAACCACCTGCACGTTGTTGGCGGCGTACCACTCCATGGCCTTTTTACCGTAATGGCAAGATGCCAAATCCGGCCAAAACAGTACGGAACAACCGTGTTTCTTCAGGAAAGGCAGCAGACGTTTATTCAAACACTCTTTCACGTAAATTTCTTGGTTGACAGTCCCGGAAGCTATGAAAATGCTGCTTTTCAAGCCACAGGTACAGATGGCTTGCCAAACCAGATATTTCTTTGCGAACTTTGACAGTTTCATGTGCTTGAAAACATCTGCTACCTTTCCCCTTCCTTTTGCCGTATAAAACTCCTGTCCCGGAAGCTGCTTGTAGTCGGCTTTGACGTAGGTTTCGTCGTCCATTACCACGCAGTCAAACTTCGTCAGCATCGTCGTGTACAGCCTCCGGGATCGCGCTTTGGCCGTCGTATTTTGTTTATCATCGTGATTTGGAGTCACTACCTTCTTGTAAGTCGATAGTCTGGCTCGTTTTTTGGCTCGATGCACGGTTGTAGACGATACACCCAGCTTATTTGCGGCATCTCGGAGAGAGAGGTTAGGGTTTCGCTTGAAACTACCGGCAACTCTCTTTGTCGTCTCAGCGGCTTCCGGTTTTCGATTTCCCCCCGATCCAGACTTCCTGGCTGTCGACAAACGTTCCCCAAACACTTTAATTACATTTGTAACGGTTGATTTGGCAACTTTTAACGATTTTGCCAACTTTGCGTGCGAGTAGCTCGGATTTTCGCGATGCGCGAGCAAAATTTTGATACGCTGCTCTTCTTGCTTGGACGGCATTTTGACAACAGAAGAGTGAATTCCAAAATCAAAATAGGAGCAACATTCTACACACACACACCTTCAAAATGAGGGGTGTTCAGGTTTTTTAAATGCAAAATTGAAAGAAATACGTCTAGTTGATATTGACCAAATTTTGACCGTATCACCCTTTAAACTGATTGAGTGGAGCGGTGAGTGACCAACTTTCATTGTCAACTGTCAAAAGAAACTGGTACGTAGCTTGAGTGAGCGTTCGATTTGAGAGTGATGAAAAAGGGTGACTACACGCAAACCAAAAATTTATTACAATGAATGTTAGTTCCATTTCCTATCATCCTCTGTTCATGAACATCGCAGCGAATGTTAGAAGTTGACCTTGCAGGCGATGTAATGGTTTTTTGCCTTTTTTATTTCGTGTTCTGTCTGTGCTTTCATTTACACAAGCAAGCATTTGCCTTGATTTTTATGTATAACACGGCAGAACGACGCACACACTTGCCTCGAATCTCTCCAGCAGAAAAAACATACGAAGTCAAGTGTGAGAGGAAATGAGCGCTTCTTGTTTGCTTTTAGGCTATCCATATTCAGAAGCATGGAAAGAGCAGTGGATAAAGTACAGGTCTGATAATCACACAGTTCTTGGTTCGAGTCCCAGTCGGCAACCTTTTTCCAATTTTTTTTTTTTCGACATAATTCATTTCACTCACTAATACACTCCACATTTTTCGGTCCCCAATTCTCTTGCATTGGACCGCAGCTAGGTATATTGCATCCTCGGTTCATGCGGTCTCCACTTATGTACATCCTCTGATGATGAATCCCACATAATTGTAAGCGAATCTTACATCCACCGGTTGGGTGTATGATCATTGATCAGTCATTTCGTGACTTCTACAGTGACAGTTTTCAAGACTACTTCACTGTTTTCGTTGTGCTCTTCATCATCAGCAGCGAGTGTAACGTTTTTCCTGTGAGCAGCGACCATTACTGGTGATTGTTGTTTGCCATGCCTCTACCTCTCACTGCATGACAAAACGTTCTGTCAGCGATAGTCGGTTGATGCGTAAACAAGTGTCACGTGAGTGTCATGAAATTTTGCATCACTGTCAAAACAAAAGTCGTTACAATGAGGGTTGTCAGCAGGGATGGGCTAGAAACTCAGAGAGAGAGAGAGAGAGAGAGAGAGAAAGAGATTACATACCTGGATGAGAGCAGTTGGACTGCACGGGTGCTACTCGCGCATAGCCCATCGAGTAGTGCACTATGTGTTGACGGGATTAGCACTTTTTAATCGGGGAAGACGTGATTTAAAGATTTACAGGAATGACTACGGACGATAGGCTGGCCGCATAATGTAAACACTCATGAGAGATATGTTGTGGTGGCTGTATTGTGTTCAATACTGTGGCAAAATACCAAATTATGTGTTTTTACTAAAGTGGTATTTTTATGAGGTCGATATGTAATGCTCATTTATTTCTTGTTATGTAGCTAGTATAGGTCCATGAAAGAAAACTTGAATGCCATTCAAAATTTGGGACAGTTTTAAAGCTGCCAAACTGTAGTTTTACATATAGAACAGCACCAGTGGTTCGCCTCCGAGAATCAGCAATTAAATGAAAGATTGTCAACAATTGAATTCAAGGTTGTTTGGCACAATTTCACCTAAAATAAATTGGGTATCGTAGGCTCCGCTGTTTACTCCACCTGCACACGTGGCGTTGTAATTAACTTTCATGTACCGTATGCGGGATAATGTTTGCACCATTAAGCAATGTCCAAATTAAAAAAATTCTCAAAAAATTTCGTCTTCGAGTTTTTTTTTATTTATTCAAAGGGGGAATGTTTCTCAGAGTCTTAAACTATGTTAATCATCGATCAAGTTTCCACTTGCTGCAATTACGGCCTCCACACGCTTCCGGAATGCACGGCAGGTTCTAATAATGTAGTCTGGATCCATTTATCTCCAGGTATGGGTCAATGTTTGTCTGAGGCTTGCTGTACTCGGATGGCGTTTAGAACAGGCCTTGGCCTTCATGACGCGCCATATTGAGTAATCCAGCGGTTTAAGATCGGAGCTGGATGGCGGCCACATATCCTTCGCCCAGAACGGAAGATGTTCCTGCAACCACTTCTGAGTGCGGTTCGAGGTGTGGCACGGAGGCCCATCTTTTTGGAATACAAAATTGGCTTCGGACCGTACTATTCTTTGATCCACGGATCCACATACTTACTTAAAATCCCGATGTAGATCTCCGTAGTGACCTTGTCGTCTTCTGGAATGAACACCGGGTCCATTTTTTTGGCACTGGAAGCAACCAATCCAAACACCATAACGCTAGCAGGATGCTTGGTCAGATACACGTTCTTGTGCTCGTCGGTCACGTCTGTTGCCGGAAGAGAACTAATATACCGGACGGTTCTGGAATTTGATACGGGATAGACGGTAAACATGCTCTCGTCGGTGAACAGGATTACCGGATTTGTTCGCTTAAGGAAGTTCAAGATTTTCTTGCATCGTTCGACTCGTAGCTCCCGGATGCGGTTGGTAATCATGTGATTTTTTTTCCGTGCCCTCGACTTTGCCCCGCAATCATCCTCTACGATCTACTATGCCGTAAAGTCACTGATCCCGTGTTCCTTTGACATTTTCCTTATTGAACGCACTGGATTCACCCTAAAAGAAGAGATGATACGGGGGCGAAAATGAACCACTTTTCTGTCAACCGTGAACCAGCTCCTGATTGGCCG